GGGGGGGGGGTAGGAGCTCCAACAAGCCATTTAGGACAGAGAGTGAATACACATACTATACAGAGATGCTGTATGAGAAACCAATGTGAGTTTGGAAAATTGCACAATATAAATCAATTTTAGTAGACCTCAACAATGGAATTATGATCAGTAGAAATGGCCATGTCATGGGACCTTTAATGACTGTGTATACTGCAGGGTAGCTTTTGAATTTACTCAGGTGTAACTAAAGTCTGATTTAAGTGTTGATTATATTTCACATCATTAAACAGAATATGTAAAGTAACTAAAGGTATTAAATACATGTAGGGGAGTAAAAGTACACGATTAACCTCTGAATTATGAGTAGGAGGACAAAGTAGTGTAAAATGGAAATACTCAAATAAAGTACAAATCTCTCAAAATGTTACTTTAGTAAAGTACTTGAGTAAATGCACTTAGTTACTTCCCACCTCTGATGAAAAGTAATTACTGTATGGACATGAGCTTTTTCCTAAAACATGCTATTAGCTTTAGTAGATAATCTAGACAGAATACACAAAAATAAAATACCTAACCAAAATGAATAATTAAATTGACATTCAAGCTGGGGAACATTGACAGTGGTTATCTAATGAAAATACATTATCCAGAGTGCTACAGCAATTAGTCCAAAAACAAAAAAAGGAGTCAGTATTTGTGCATATCTGGTTCCCTCGTCTTGACGTCAATGGGTTTTCTGAATGGGTTTTTGGTTAGATGGTTAGAATAAGTTATTAGGTTAACACAAGACTTATTTATGTTGTGTTTTACCATTTGATTTATGGCAGTAAATACCCTACAAGTAAATACCCTACAAGTGTATTATTATGTGTTTTTAGTCACTTAATGAAAATACAGATATTTTCTGGGACAACCACTGACACGCAATCGTTTTTTTTGTAAAAGAGTTCAATATTTCACAGGAGTCACAAAAATATGTTTGCTGATTGGCTGTGGGTACTCTGGCCGAGTAACATTTTAAAAACTACCAACCTTAAAGAGGCTCTATTATGCTTTTGGGGGTTTTCCCTTTCCTGTGGTGTGTTGGTGTGCATGTAAATGGTCTGCAAATTCAAAAATCCCAAATTTCCCTCCAGAGGGAGTTTCTCTCCCACACACTGCCTGAAACACCTCCATTAGACTCCTCTGTTTACTTCCGCAACATAATGACATCACTATGTATCACTGGCGCTTCTATTGCCTAGCCCTCCAACACATTGTATGTGATACGCTTATGGGCGGGACATCTCTAAGCGGTTGACCGATCAAAACAGAGTCGGCCAGCTAACCAATCAGAGCAGACTGGGCTCTGGTTTCAGACAGAGGGTGAAAAGAGGTGCTGCAGCACAGGCAGTATGAGAAAAATAAAGAGCTTTTTGAACATTAAAGCATGGAGACATGTCCCAGCAGAGAAACCAAATACAATAACGTTATAAAACCTGAAAATGTGCAAAACAGGGTCCCTTTAAGTTTGTCTGCAATGCACAGATTGCATGTCAGTGTAAGCAGTACTTCACTCCTCCCCTGAGGTAATGCGGTGTAAACTTCATCCTATCAAATACTGTGACAGAACACTTCTCCTCCCTTATTACATGGCTTAGTTGAATACTCGATTCTGATTGGTCAATTCAGAACACATGACACGTTGTTAATACCGAACAGACAGACCGCTGTCAAGGACTTATTGACCGTTGTTAAGGACGCTCACATCTTCAGAAAGAAGTCCGGTCGATTTAACTGTATACCGTTTCGAACTGGGACATGAAAAACAGCGCAGAAGTAACGGGGCATAAACCCTCCTTTTTACGCAGCGGTCCAGACATAGACATCAAACGGCGACACATATTCAGTTGCCAGTTACTTTGGCATTAGGGCAGGGATATCTAGATACTTTCCAAGGTTTGACATAATTAATTGTGCTACTTTTAAAGCAAGGAGCGATGTTTTCAAATCTGTAATCAAAAAGCTCCTCAAAAACGCAAGCAGTTCCTACCGTTGGCTTTTCAAACTGAAGACAAGAGACTCTCTAACTGTTTTTCAAATGTAACAGTTTGAAAAGCAAGCAAACTGTCTGATTGTCTTTAGTTTTCCGCTGTCGTGTGATAGCAACATGGAGGATTTTAACATTAATTTTAATATATTTGGAGAGCACAGTAATTTGGAGTAATGGTTAGTGGCTGATGAGTCCCCAGTGAAGAAAATAAAAAGACAAGAGGGACAAGAAAGCAGCGGAGAAGTAACGGGCAGAAACCCTCCTTTTTACGCAGCGGTCCAGACATAGACATCAAACGGCGACACATATTCAGTGTGCAGTTCCTTTGGCATTAGGGCAGGGATATCTAGATACTTTCCAAGGTTTGACTTAATGAATTGTGCTACTTTTAAAGCAAGCGGCGATGTTTTCAAATCTGTAATCAAAAAGCTCCTCAAAAACGCTATCGAAGCACTTCCTGCCGTTGCTACGTTAGTTCAAACAGTAACAACGGACTATTTTTCTTAGCGGATGCATGTCAATTTAAATCAATACAACTCTTTTTTAAATCAATAAATAATTTTCTAAATCCATAAAAGCATTTCAATTAATATTGGGATTCATAATGTTACTTTGTTGAGAATGTGGCCATGTAATAAGCGGGATAATGTGCAGCAACTTGGTCATTATGGGGAAAATAACACCTTCATGCCGATCTAGATCCCTCCGCTTCGCGTCGGGCTCCTGATCAGCCTGTCGGTGTTCTTTTAAGCAATCATACACGAGAGGCCGTTCTTTAACGTCATTATTGGTACGACAGTACTGCGGCAGGACCGAGGCGCTTGCGCCGAGGTCCGTACGCCTGTACTGGACAACTGCAAGCAGTTTGCTTTTCAGGCCAAGGGTATACCGTTTTTCTCAGACGCGGAGGGATACTGACTTGTTGTGAAAAGGCACGTTCTATTTGACCGTTCTTTGATCGTGGAATCAAACACGCCTATTGACCAATCAGAGAGCTTGCTCACACCTATGTGTTATAGAATTCCCCATAATGACCGCGTTGCTGCACATTATCCCTTACTTATTTTAGCGGCGGTGACGTCATGTTGTGAAATTTACAACCCAACTGACGCTTTTTACTCCTGGCAAAAGCCTTTTGATCTAAAAACCATAAAAAGTATTTGATCATTTGTGAAGATTATCTTGCTGAACAAAACCTGAGAGGGTCATGAACTGTTTTATACCACAGAGTTTACTCTCTAGGATAATAAGAAATCCAATGGAAAAAAAAATCTGATTGGGATTTTTGTCAAGGGAATTTTGGGTTGACCGACAAAATAAGTAAGGGATAATGTGCAGCAACGTGGTCATTATGGGGAAAAGAACACCGACAGGCTGATCAGGAGCCCGACGCGAAGCGGAGGGATCTAGATCGGCATGAAGGTATAACGGTATACAGTTAAATCGACCGGACTTCTTTCTGAAGATGTGAGCGTCCTTAACAACGGTCAATAAGTCCTTGACAGCAGTCTGTCTGTTCGGTATTAACAACGTGTCACGTGTTCTGAATTGACCAATCAGAATCGAGTATTCAACTAAGCCATGTAATAACTAATATTCTATAACACATAGGTGTGAGCAAGCTCTCTGATTGGTCAATAGGCGTGTTTGATTCCACGATCAAAGAACGGTCAAATAGAACGTGCCTTTTCACAACAAGTCAGTATCCCTCCGCGTCTGAGAAAAACGGTATACCCTTGGCCTGAAAAGGAAACTGCTTGCAGTACGCCTGTACTCCAGTACAGGCGTACGGACCTCGGCGCAAGCGCCTCGGTCCTGCCGCAGTACTGTCGTACCAATAATGACGTTAAAGAACGGCCTCTCGTGTATGATTGCTTAAATATCATCCCACTCTATAAACGGATATTATACCATAGGGCAGTGTTTCTCAAACTTTTTCATACCAAGGACCACCTAACTCCCCAAATATCCAAAACAAAAGGCCTGCTTACCACTCCAACAGTATATAACAAATGACAGCCTAATAATGACAGTTTAACCTTCTCTATATCGCCTCGTTCACACATTAAATCAACAATACAAATACAACTACAGATTATATAAGCATTTTGTTCAAATACGATTTAAAATGCTCACAGGTTTTACACCTCTTATGAAATGTAGACTACATTTATTACGCAGTTTATGTCCAACAGACTCACAGATCGTTGGCTACTGAGAGAAATGCAAAATACACCGCATGTAGTACGACACAAACCTCAGCTGTGGATTTTCAAAACAAAATACAGTAGAACTATGGTTGCAGGCCCAAGTTTAACTCTCTGAGGTCAAAGCCAATTTTTCACATGTTAGGCTCGCCTGGGCTTTTTTTTGTAAAATTTGCTATTAAAACATGAACCTTGGTGACCATCGGGCTGGCCTGCATGGTCTGCCTACAAAACTAAAATAAAAAAATGTTTATGCAGCCCCAACAACAGCCTCTGATCATCAACAGACTTCATGCAATGCTTCATTGGATCCATATATTAGATATATAATCTCTATCTAACTCCTAACACATCTAAATCTACTTCCAGCATGGATAAATGTTCATAAAAGACATCCATTGTTTGTTTTATACGCTTCTTGAAATCTAAAAGAAAACACATCGTTTTTCTAGAACAGATTACAAATCGCAAATGTGTGATGAAGGTGTGGCGCTGGGCTATATAATGCCCGCTCCATTGCGGAGATATTCCCGCGAGAGTGCGGGAACATTTAAATGTATTTATTTATTTAAAATGTTAAATTTTACCAATATTCTCACGGACTACTAGGGTGCGCTCACGGACCACCAGTGGTCCGCGGACCACACTTTGAGAAACACTGCAGGGTACAACATGTCAGGCATAAACACAGGATGAGCAAGTTGTTGTTTATCACACACAAGTGTCTTGTAGTTGTGTTCATGGTTTATTAAAGTCATGTTTCATATGTTTGACTGCAGGGTTGAGCCTGGCAGAGAGCACATGTTCCCCATGGAGTTCTTCTTCCCGCCACAGAGGACGTGCCTCATCTGTTCAGACGAGGCCTCTGGCTGCCATTACGGTGCGCTCACCTGTGGAAGCTGCAAGGTGTTCTTCAAAAGAGCAGCAGAAGGTAAAACCCAAACACCGATGTTTTCAACCTGTTGCATTTTATTTCAACTTTCAACTTATTTCAACCTTCAACAGAATATTTACCAGCATCCTCTGTTTTCTCTGTCCAAGTAGGCAAACATAAATACCTGTGCGCCAGCAAAAACGACTGCACCATTGATAAGCTCAGAAGGAAGAACTGTCCGTCCTGTCGGCTGAGGAAGTGTTTCGAGGCTGGGATGACTCTCGGAGGTAGGATAGAGACACATACTAAAATCAGCTTTTATTTTATTGCAGTTATTTTAACATTGACATTTTTATTTGTATTACCTGGTAATAGTCACTTCAGAAATAGGATGTGTTCCAGACGAATGTGCATTTAAAACTCATTCACATCTCTGCAGTACGATAAACTCTGTGCACTACTGTATGAACAAATCACACTCTGGAGAAAGTCCTCGAAGTGAAACTAGTAATGGCTTCCCCAGACAGAGTACTTTATTCACTCTTCACTGCACATCGTCACTGGATCTCTTCAATTGCAGCATCATCACAATAGGGGGTGTTACTGATAATCAAGCCCCTGACTGAGCTGCCATGCAATTTAGACATCTTCCATTCACTTCTCCTTACTGTCACCCACTGTTTGTCAGTCTTTAAAGATTGACATGTAGTGGACTAATTTGAGTCTTGGGTTCAATTTTCACTCTCTTCCATTTTTCTCATTCTGTGGACGGTGGAAATTGTACTGGAAGCAAAAAGCTGACATGAGACATGTGAATTAAAGCAGCAGACATGCTGGTAATTTTGCCGCCAGCCACCGTCAAACCCATGGAGGGAAAGTGTGTTCTAATGATGCGGGGAAAAAAGCACACCTTTTCTAGTTGTGCCTAAGAAGAGCCTCTTTCACTCATGTTCTCATCTTGGACATGTAATTTACTTGCGGCATTTCACAGGAAAAATGTACCACAATCATTTTCAGAAGTGGTGTCAGACGTATTATACATTTGGTCTATTATCCCAGTAGGTTTTCACTCAAAATACTGAAATTAAAGGAAGTTTCTAGTTCAAATAATTTCACTTTTATTGACTTATTACACATTTGCTTATGTATTAGAAGATATATAAATTAAATGATAAATAAATATTATCTTTGACATTTGTTTTACTCTTTGTATTTCAGAAGGTCTGTCGCGAAGCAATGAAATCGTCTGATTCTTGTGTTTGGCATCTGTTCAAGACTTGAAGTTATTATAAATTGCTCAAAGCTTCACATTTTATAATTAGAATTCCATATTTCTCCTGAAATGTTAATTACATCCACAAATAGAAGCCAAGTAGTGAGGCTGCCATTGCCTTACCATGATCGCTCAGTCATTTAGCAGAAACCTGAAGAGGCCCGCTGCACATCTGCACTTAATGCAGAAATATCTCGAAGATGTTATCATACTAAAAAACCTTTTTTCAATTTTTTACATCAACCCTGTCTTACACAATGGTTCCAAATTGTGTTCCCAACCCAGAGTCTACCCATCGTGAGACATCGTCCTAAGCTGCTAGAGCTTCTGTTTCAGCAGCACCCGGGGAGGGTTAATGATTTACTCAAGCTGCTATTCTTCCAGAGCCTCCTAATGGAAAAAGCAGTAAGTGATGTGGGACGGTCCTGGCACCACGCCACTGTCAGTCAAAATATATAACTTATTATAAAAAAAATGATTTCATGTGGCAATGAGGAGTTTTTCATGAAATGGAGACTGAATGTCTAATGCTTTTTAAGCCTGTGCCCAGTCGATCTTTTTATGGGGACCTGGTTTTAAAAAAACGTTTGTGATGAGCAAGCTTTATTTTGATTTGATTTTGCACATTTAAAAGTTACAGAAACAGTTCACATTAATATACATTGTTTAGCAAGCTAGAGCTACACAGCTGCACAAAACCACAAAATATATGGCTGTTCAACCTCTAAAAAAAAAAAAAAGATTAATGAAAAATAACCTGTAATATAGGGTTTTAGCTCATATGAACCTAATGCAACAGGCCTTACAATAGTTTGGCCTGTTTGTAGCTACCTGCATGTTTATTGCTGTTCTGAGTTTGTATCTTCATGGTTTATTGCACTTATAACTGGATACAAAAATAACATCAGTCAGTGTGATATTAGTGTACAAATGTTTTTATGTAGTAATAATGGGGAGAGCTTGTTGAATATAAAGTGTAACCATAGAGTATTATCCTTATACTCATATGACATTTTTAATAAAGATTTAAAGGGATATTGTAAGAATTCTACTTTAAAAACCATATACAGATTAGTGGTTTTATGCATATTTCTTTAAATAATAATAGCAATAACTCAGGGCTGGGACAATTCAATATCAACTGTCCTAGTTAACTTATTTTGTTATTGTTTAGTGCTATGTTGAATAAAGAACCGTAATTAAGACTTAATGGCCCTAGATTTCCAAAAATATGTCACTGGAGAAACAAGGGTTTTGCATTTTTCAGAGAAACTACAATTATTGGTTCCAAGTAAATATTCTTGCATTTCATATTTACTTTGAGGTGAAAATTCAACAAATAACCTATCCTTGAAGTCGGCATTAAAAGTATTTGCATTAATATAACCACCACATTAAGAAAAGAGAGATCATTTATGAACAATGAAGTGACAGGTGACTCTCTCTCCAGCCTCTCTGCTCCTCACACCCAGAAACACTCCTCACATCTGTGCTAATGATGTAATGACAGTGACAACCTGGACACCAAAGTGAGAGTAAAGTGGGATCTGCAGAGGCACATATTACAAAGGCGTCTCAAGAAGTGAGGAAAAAAATACTAAACTGACTGTCGAGACAATCAAGTCTCTCCTGGCACCTAAAAAGAAGGTTAGGATAAAGATGGTGATTATAATGGTGATGAGACGGGTAATGACATATCGGGAACGAGGCCAAAAATGTGAGAGTATAGAGAAAAAAAATTTCATTCAATTTCAAACGTGTGATTTGATTGAAAATGGGCTTATTATGGATGTTTCTGCAGCGTATTCACTGGAGGTCAGTGTTTGGTGGAAACCATCAAAGATACTAAGGCCACAGTGGACATTACCTTTGAATTCATTTGTCTGAATGTAATTTGTGATTGCAACAAATGCCGTGCTTGAATCGTTTGAATGTCAATCTCCCGTTTGTATTGGCTTCAACTCAAGCCTGGGGATTTTAAGGTGATCTCAACCCAATATATTTACTCTGCACTCTACAAAGATCAGGAACCTGTCTGTGTCACAGTTAAGAATCTCAGGCAGGAGTTTTTAATTAACCATTTTTATTTCAAATGTTTGTCGGTGGCTCAGACTTGGAAAATGTGAGACTTGCCAATTATCTTTCATACATAATCTGCAATTGTCTTTCAACCCGGCTGTTTATGAGAAATACTTAAGTTGTTTCTATAACTGGCAATATTTGATATGTATCCAACTGAACTGCAAAGCCAGGCTGCAGTTTTAATGAAACATTCTCTACACAGAAGCTGTGAGAGGAAAGGGCACTGCTTTTTACGGTCACTCAACGTTTATATAATTGATAAGAAATTAAGAGTGAAACTTCCTCTGGAGGAAACTTTAGATTTTAGCCTTTGCAGACCATTTACATGCACAAATATATAAAACACACGACATGAAAGGGAACACCACAGAAAGCACAATATGGCCTCTTTAAAGATGTACTATGTCTGTGGAGACTGTCACAAAGTTAAAAGCTAGTGACCAGAATACATGTTAGTTCTTCAATGCGTTGGGCAAAAAGAAAAATTTATATTTGTCTGTTACTCAATCTCTGGTAGAGCCGTAATAGTAAAAAAAAACACGCATAGTTAAAGTTGAACTGTTGGCAACTCGTATCTGTATAAAAGTGTACTCGGTACAGAGCAGATTCACCTTCCAACAAAGTAGAGCATTAGGTCTTTGAGCATACAATCATAAATATGCACAAAGAGATTTGGCTGAAGGGTCCCGTACTATGTGAGATCAACTATGGCAAACAGACGGATAACACACACACTGACCGGACACACGAGCCACCCCCCACCACTTAAAGATAATAAAACAGTTATGTGTTGGTCTTAGTTCAGACTTTTAAGAACCACATTTATGTGGGTGCTGTTCAATTATTATTTTCTGATTCAGTACCTAATGTACATGACACTCTACTCCTCTAATACCTTGCTCCCATTGCTTCCAGGAGAGACTTAAAGGTCCCCTATTATGCAAAATGCACTTTTTTATGTCTTTTATACATAAATATGTGTCCCCGGTGTGAAAGGAGACTCACAAAGTGTCAGAAAATACAACCCTCTCTCTTTTTTTCCTTACCCACATCTCTAAAAATGGGGCTACAACGGACCTGATCCAGATTTGCTGCAGTCATGACGACATTGTTAAAATATTGGCTGGCTTTACACCCACGGCCCTATCAGAAACGTCGCTATCAGAAACAATGCGCAACGTGTTTTGGACGTAATATGGTCTTTGTTTACATTAGCAAGCATCGCTAACACTCAGAGCTAACCTGTACTGGAGAGAGTATGTGTAAAAAAGCAGGATATAAAAAGGTACTGTCCTTGTGGTAAACCTGCTAGAGAAAAAGCATTTGAGCTCCATACTGTTTCAGAAGTAATCCTTGATTAGGTTTGGAACATCATATGGCGTTTCATCACGGCAGCTTTTTCTACGTAATATTAAGTTTGGCTGTTTTTCTGCTGTAACAACGTACATTTCCCCTCTGTGGGACTAATAAAGGTATTCTGATTTAGCTGAGAATCTGGGTAGAATTCTCCTGCACAAACATGCATGAGCTCTCATCTCTTTTTTTTTTTTAAGCTACAGACCCAGAATCAGCACTTCTCTAGGGCTGAAATAGAGGGGTATGGTGCATGGCTAGAATAGGTGATCTGTTTTGTATTTTGAGCAAAACACCTATAATATATGACTAAAAGTAGTATAATAGGAGACCTTAATTTAACAGTGAAATGAAGGTGTTGACATGATGGTGCACAATGAAGTTTTAAAATGTGAACAGACGTTTTGACCCCATCGTGTAGTTATCAGCGTAGTCCAGAACTGCTCACTATGTAAGGGATAATGTACAACACGTACTGTGATACGTACTCAAGGTGGTAGCAATGAAATAAACTGTCAGCCTCAGAGAGAACCGTTTAAGAGTTAGACAGTAATGATGTTATACGTTTACAGAGATATTGGCATAATCCAATGGTTTAACCAAAATATGTAAACACCAATGGTTTGTGGGTTCTAACATTGAGCAGCTTCCTTAAGACTGATCGCATTTGTGGGGTTATAAATGACAGATTTATCATTACTCAAGGGAGCAGCAGATTTGTTTCAGTATTTGGCATTTGTTATCTCTTGATACCTATTTGCTCTGCAGTGCATAAGGAATACAAATGTAATGTTAATATGCATGATTATGGAGATGAATGGTTCAAGAACAAAACAGTATTTTTAAAACTGCAAAACCTCCCTGGGCGACGATGTAATAAGAGGGGCTAATTTCCAAGTATACATCAACAGCGAGCTCTCATTCATGAGCACAGGCCTTTCCTCCAGATGAGACTCATCTGTTCAGAGAGTTCTCTTTGAAATGGAATATGATTCAATATGTTTGACGGTATTAGTATATCAGTCTGGCTATTGTTGGGTCAAATTGATATTTCTCTTGAAGGTTACTTAAAACCCGCAGATGCATTATGAGACATTTCCAACAGATGATTGGAAAGTGGAATTACATGAAACCTCAGCACAGTATTTTTAGCTGCAGCGTTTCCTATGTTCAACGGACAAAATAACTACTCAAAATATGTATACTGTATATTTACATTGTGTTTTTCAGCAATGAGAACCAGCTGAGAAGAAGTACTTTGATTTTTGATTAAAAGTTCAGTGCTGATGAATATATTAATTGTACTGGTATCTATGACTGATTGTGTTTTTTTAAAAGGAAAATCCTCTGATATCAACACCAGAGTATTGGCTTGTCATTGTACAAACAACATTTTGCTGTAATTGTTCCAGTTAGGCAGTATGGATTTTTACAGTCAATGGCATAAAAAGCCATTCTGGCTTGAGGCAGTCTATACAGTTACAACAGCTGGATTTAAATTCAATAAAATATGTAATTTTGTTACATTTTCATTTGCAAAACACCTTGTGAATTGGAGTTTAAAGACCAGGTCATATTGCTTGTGAGCTAATTGTTTGACAAAGTAGCATATACCTGATAATAATAACTTAACTGTTTCTTGATCGATTTCGTGATTTTGTTTGTAGCACGTAAACTAAAGAAGATTGGACAACAGAAAAACCAAGAAGAGGATCATCCTATTCAGGAACACTCAGAGGTCATCCAGAACCCCGCTCCTACTTCAGGCCTGAGCTACAACTCCCAGATGGTCTTCCTCAACATCCTGGAGTCCATCGAACCGGAGGTGGTGAACGCAGGGCACGACTACGGGCAGCCAGACTCCGCTGCCACCCTGCTCACCAGCCTCAACGAGCTGGGAGAGAGGCAGCTGGTCAAAGTGGTCAAATGGGCAAAAGGGTTGCCAGGTAGGATGCTACTTACATTTTTTGAAACAATGTTTTTGTTAGCTTCTTAATGCTTATCTTTGTTCACCAGAACTGCAGAGTCAGGTGAAAACTCTGTGTGCCCCGCTTTAGGTACAAGTACATTTTTGATTTATTGGGCTTGGCTCATGGTGTGATTGGTCATCTATCAATTGAAGGGTCAGTGGTTCAATCCCCAGCCCCTGCAGTCAACATGTAGTATCCTTAGCAAGCTACTGAACCCCCAAATTACTCTCAGTAGAGGTTATTTTTAAGTCGCTTTGGATAAAAGCAGCTAAATGTAATGTACTGATTATATATTTTGAAGTACTTTGAGTCAGGAAATGTGTCCCTGTATAATAACAATTATTGAGTATGTTTTCGCATGGATTAATAGAACCTGATACAGTGTTGGAGGCGGTACCCCCGTTGTTGCTCAGTGGCGCATGAAGACAAAATGGCCTGACTCGAGAGCAAAATAACCAGTATCTGGGCCCATGGAGCATGCGCACTTGAGTTTTCCTTAAGCCCCGCCTCCAATCTCCTGCTCTCAGCTCAGTGAACTGAATGGATAGGGAAAATAACTCTTGATTCAGCTTTTAGACACTTATGATTTAAATAAGGGCTATAAAGGTGTCCGTACTGGGTAGTTGATTTAGTTAAAAAAAGTTTGGAGGGACCTGGGCAATTCCTGCCGGATGTCATGCTTCTATTTCCAGCTTATTGATCGAATAGTGCTCACTGGGATATTCAAAGGCTTGGATAATACTGTGTCGCTTTTTCCTAATATGTGCATGTCTATGACTTTATCTCTAACTTCCTTGCTTTCTCTGGTCTGGTCAGCTGTTCTTGAGAGTCACTGACCAACATTAGTTAGACTTAGGAGGTTAGGAATCAATTGTTTGTGTAATTTACAAGCCAACTGAAACATGTGTGTCATCTGCATAGGTATGGAAAGAGATGGTGGGCCTCCTGATGACACTGCCAAGTTGATATAATATTGAGATTTCATTTCATTTCAAACCTTTATTTATCCAGGTATATCCCATTGAGATCATTGATCTCTTTTTCAAGGGAGACCTGCTCAAGTAGGTTCCACATGAAACATAAAAAACATAAACAGAACAACAAAAGGACATCATACAGCATCATTACAGGGATTACAATTTACATAACTATCCACATGAACAGGTGCCAACAGCTTCCGATTGAGTAGCATCCAACCAAGCTTTAAAAACATTTAGTGGCACCAGATTGCTCAGTTTCCATTTCAATTGCAGACTGTTCCAAGACAGAGGCGCTGCACATCTAAAAGCTGTCTTCACTAAGACAGTCCTAGCAGTTGGCACATTTAATAAAACCACAGCATGCGATCTCAGGCAGTAGCCACTTACAATTAGCCGTGAGATCAGGGAGCAGATGTAGGATGGAAGCTTCCCTAACATGGCTTTGTATATAAAAATGTACCAGTGACTGAGCCTCCGTACAGTTAGTGAAAGCAAACCAGCCCTTGCATACAGGGTACAGTGATGGGTTAATGATTTACAGTTTGTCACAAATCTCAGTGCACTGTGATACGCAGCATCTAACTTGACCAGGCAATTGGCAGGTGCATTCATATAGATCAGATCACCATAGTCCAGCACAAGTAAAAAGGTCACAGTGACTAGCCTTTTCCTGGCCTCAAGCGAGAAACAGGACTTGTTCCTGTAGAAGAAACCTAGCCTAACCCTCAGTGTTTTAAGCAGGTTATTGACATGAAGTTTAAAAGTGAGACAATCATCAAGCCAGATACCAAGGTATTTGTAACAGGTAACCACTTCAAGTTTTATTCCTTGCGTAGTTACAATATCTACAACAGGCTCTGGTGTCTTTTTAGCTTTTGAAAATAGCATTACCTTGGTTTTCTCAACATTTAAAAGAAGCTTTAGTTCAGAGACCTGAGTCTGAATAATGTTAAAAACAGCCTGTAATTTAACAACAGCCTCCTTAATGGAGGGACCTGCACAGTACATCACGGTATCATCCGCATAAAAATGTAAGGTTGCACCATCGACATTTTCACCTAAACTATTGATGTAGATGGAGAATAAAAGTGGACCTAAAACAGAACCTTGAGGAACACCATTAGTAATGTTTAACCACTCAGAAGACAGCCCATCAAAGTGAACACATTGGGACCTTTCAGAGAGGTAGTTCACAAACCACCCTACTGCATGGCTGGACATGCCTATACTGGCTAGCCTCTGCTTTAAGATGTGATGATCGACGGTATCAAATGCTTTGGACAGGTCAATAAATAGAGCTGCACAACTCTGCTTATTATCTAAAATACTCGCCACATCATTCACCACTTTCATTGTGGCAGTGATGGTGCTGTGTTGCTTTCTGAAGCCTGACTGATGTTTAGACAGGATGTCATTTGTACATAAAAACACCTTTACCTGTTCACTCACTAGGCGTTCAAGAACCTTAGCCAGAACTGACAATTTAGAGATGGGCCTATAATTATTTAATAAAGTGGCCTCCCCTCCTTTTAGCAAAGGCAGGACATACGCTGACTTCCACAATTGTTGAATTGTGTTTGTGCTGAGGGAGAGGTTAAAAAGAGTAGTGAGAGGTGGAGCAATACAATCTGCAGCTATCTTTAAAAAGAAAGGTTCTACGTTGTCCGGGCCAGCCGGTTTCTTAGGATCTAACTTGGTTAAAGCTTCACGAACAACATCAACAGTAAAAGGGGTAAAACTAAAAGGGTTTTCCAACACACGTTTTTCAGAGTCACATACTGTAGTGTTCACAGAAGCAGAGTTAGTGACAGAATCAGATAAAAAAGTAGCGGCCCTAAAATCTATCCTTGGGGAACTCCACAAGTCGGACTGTCAAGATAAATACGTTATCGACTTATTTTACATGTGGATATGACCTTGATCCTTTCTGGTGACCTCAAAATTGCCCGTTGTGTATACTTGCGTGTTTGTGTAACTAAGAATATAATAAATATTCAAGCCAACATGATGCGATGATTAGCAGTTTCAGGAACATTCTGAATTTTTTCACATCTCAATTCCAATGTTAAACTCTTATTTAAAAGTATAGACTTTGAAAGGATGTATTTTCATCATAATGTTATTATACAATCATCATATATTAGTGGCATAAAATGCTCTTAAAATAACAATAATTGTTATTATTTCTGGTACAATATATGCTCCATCAAAAGTAGTTGTAACTAGCAAGCACACAAGTTGTCATCTAAATCGTCCAAACAGACAAAGAGCTGTCCAACAGAGACAAATAGAAGAAGGAAAACCAATTAAAAACTGTTATAGAAAAGCTAAAGTGGAGGTTATTATCAAATTTGTTTGACACTCAAGCAATATTGATTAATTACACTTTAAACTGTACAAGAGTTTGTGTCTTTTTTATAAAAAAATAACCCATACAGTATAGTATTTGAATCTTTCTCCTTAGGGTTTAGAAATCTCCATGTGGACGACCAAATGACTGTCATTCAGCATTCTTGGATGGGGGTGATGGTGTTTGCCCTGGGATGGAGGTCCTATAAGAACGTCAACGGCAGGATGCTTTACTTCGCCCCGGATCTCGTGTTCAATGAGTATGTACACGTCTGATTTATTCAATTAAATGACAGTGTCTGAATTTGTTTTATCTGGTTGTGTTTAACATGCTGCGCAACTCACCATATTAAGATATCCCCTTCAGTGAGTGAGCCTGTGCCTTCGTACCGCCACTGTGGTACACAATAGAGTTCTTCACCACTTTCTCTCCCCCATCTTCCTCTCATTTGCTTTCCTACTCATGCTCAAACACAAAGACATCTCTAGAATTTTCTAAATGTGAAGTAGAAATTGTTGCAGGCTTTTTAGGACCCTGTTCATCCAATTTCCTCCTTAGGTGTTCTTCTGTTACAGTGAGATTAAAGGGAGGAACATTAGTCTCCAGCAGTCAAACTCTCACAGCGCTGGTAAAGCTGATTCAATTCTGAATATTACTCCTGACAGACAACAGTGGTCAGGTCTGACTGAGTGTAAGTGAGGAATATTAATGGATAGCAGTCAGTCTTTAGTTTGGACTTAGTTGTAATGAATCTAAAAGGCAGACAAATATTCAGACATAATCATCAAGATGCAATTATTTTCTCTTTTTAAATGACAACTTATATAGTTACCATATGTATGACTTAGTTACCATAATGTTTGTGTAAATATACTCTAACAGAGGAGGAAGAAATAGTGTTTTTTAGTATAATTTTAGTTTTGCTGAGCTCAGTACCATCTCACTGATATGCTTATTTTGAATTAAAGGGTGATTCTAGTGATTTAGTATGGTACTCCCATAAAGTTGGCAGACGCTAAGACACAGCAGCAGAGACACAGTTCTCCTGGCTTTCAATCCTCCATCCAAACACTGAACCTCAAATGATTTCCCACAAATCCCCTATATGGTATTTTCCATGAAACCCTTCAGTCAATGGCGGCAGTGGCTCAGTCAGTAGGGGCTATTAAAGAGGGGTTTCATCCTCAAATTCTATCTCTGATCACATTATTTATGCACATGTTTGACTGAGGTACACTTAGCAATACTAAATTGTAAAAATACTATATACTACTATATAACAAGTAAAAGTACAAAGTATTGGCATCAAAATATACTTAGGTGCCACAAGTAAAATGACTCATTATGCACTATGACCCATTTCAGAATTGTATCTATTTAATAACTGGTTTATGATTATTAAGGTTTTAGAGTGTTTTTCCCACAGCTGGTTAATTTAGAGCTAATTTGAATTGCTTTGTATTATGCTGCTGGTTGTTTTAACTTTATCAAAGTCATTTAATAATTGATTAATATTTTGTATTAGTTTATAATCTAACATACGTCTCCAAACCCCAAATAACACAGATGAAATCACTGGTTATTGTGCCAGACCTTTTAAAGCTCTTTCTACATTCATTACTCTCTGTGGTCAGTATACTTAACATGCTGATGTATTCAGTGAAGTGCGCCTTTAATCATTTATTTAATCATATTTCACAAGTGTTATATTTTGCTAATCAACTAATTCCATTGCATCTTTATATTATAAATCAAGCATATTAATATAAATAAAAACGCCATTTTGCAAAAGCACTGATCACGCAGCTCTTATTGACGTATGATTATTTGCTGACTGTCGCACTAAACTCGATTTTAACAGATTATGTTGTATAATTTAATTTAGACTGAAGGTTTAACATTTATACATATTAAGAGGAATAAATAAATACAATTAAAGAAACAGAAAAGAGAATTCAAACAGTTGATGACAAATAATATTGCATCCTGACTCATACAAGCGTGTAAAAACTCAACAACATATTAACAGGTTATTGATTACTGTATACACTGATTTATGCACACTTACCTTGCTTCACACTTCTGGCCACACCCATTTCAGTGATGTCACAGCAGGTGTGTATCATCGTTGAGCTGAAAAATGTCTGTGTGTTTGCACTGGGCATACAGCGGGTGAAATACATCATGGAATCTCAAACAGATTCAAGTTGGGAGCTTGGAAACTAACAAGAAAAAGTTTCATACAAAGAAAGAAGAGAATTCATATTAAGTGAAGTGGATTAGAAGCTTAGTTATGGAGGATGGAATTAGGGCTGGCGGAGGCCATATAAATCAGAAATGTGGATAGTTGTAGGTATTTGAAAGTTGAAAGAAATTGAATGCTTTTTCATTCAACTTAAATTACAGGTGTACTTAATGTATACACCTCATATTTAGAAAATCCTATGCATACAGTTCTATGATTTACTTTAATTGTGTTTTAGTTTAAATATTATTTTTTTTCATGTGATATAGAGACATGCTGTGAGAAATTGAGTCTAGGTTTGTATACAGAAGCAGGTTGTCATACAGACAGGTTTAGCTGTCGGAGAACTTAAAGGAAATAGCTACATGAGAACTATTGATTATATCATCACTATAGATCCCTTAATTAATTCAGGTGCTACTAAAATATTTACAATTAATACAGACTGCATCTTTAATCATAGTAAATAAAATCGCGGTACCCATTTTCTAAATTGGATCTTGGAGGTTTTTCACAGAATTATCTTTAAATTAAAAAATGTTGCAAGACGAAAAGTTATTTGTCCTTTTGTAAACCCAAGCATCAGCCTTGCATGATTTGCTCATATGAACTTATCCAGAAACATTTCAAATAGTTTGCGTATACGCTGGTCTGATTTTGTTATAAAATCTATAAAACCACATGTCTGAAACTCTGCCTCCATTTCCAGAGAGATGGAGAACATTCATTTCTTTCTTCACAGCCTTACAATATGATAAAAACTCGTATTCATTGTTCATAATAAAGCAGAATCATTTCATTAGACTGAACAGAGAGAGCGCACCTTGATCACGATGTCTATTCTCGTCTTCTCCCGAGCTTATTGAAATAACTGAAGATTGTTCAGGCAAGATGAACATGAAATATCCCTTCTTATAATATTGCACTTTAATGACTAAAACACTACTGAACTTTATAGCCAATTATAGAGTAAGGCAAGGCAAGTTAAAGCAAGGCAAGGCAAGGCAAGGCAAGGCAAGGCAAGTTTATTTATATAGCACCTTTCAACACAAGGCAATTCAAAGTGCTTTACAAAAAATGAAAGACATTAAGAAAATGGCTTTAAAATCAGTCATTAAAAAGACAAGATAATAAAATAAACATTAAAAGAAAACATATAGGGATAAAAGTTACAGTGCAGTTTAAGATGTGAATAGTTCAATTAAAAGCAGCGACAAAAAGAAAAGTCTTCAGCCTGGATTTAAAAGTAGTAAGAGTTGCAGCGGACCTGCAGGTTTCTGGGAGTTTGTTCCAGATATTTGGAGCATAATAACTGAACGCTGCTTTACCATGTTTAGTTCTGACTCTGGGGACAGAAAGCTGACCAGTCCCTGAAGACCTGAGAGATCTGGATGGTTCATAATTTAGCAGGAGGTCAGAAATGTATTTTGGGCCTAAACCATTCAGTGCTTTATAAACCAGCAGCAGTATTTTGAAATCTATTCTTTGACACACAGGAAGCCAGTGTAAAGACTTCAGAACAGTGATGTGATCCACTTTCTTAGTGTTAGTGAGGACTCGAGCAGCGACGTTCTGAATCAGCTGCAGCTTTCTAATAGATGTTTTAGTGAGACCTGTAAATACACCATTACAGTAGTCCAGTCTACTGAAGATAAAAGCATGGACAAGTTTTTCCAAATCCTGCTGTGACATTAGTCTTTTAATCCTAGATATATTCTTTAGGTGATAGTAGGCTGATTTAGTAACTGTTTTAATGTGACTGTTGAAACTCAGGTCAGAGTCCATGACTACACCTAGATTTCTGGCTTTATCTGTTGTTTTGAACATTGCAGACTGAAACTCAGCGTTAACTTTTATACGTTCTGCCTTGGCTCCAAAAACCATTACCTCAGTTTTATCTTTGTTTAATTGGAGAAAGTTCTGACACATCCAGTCATTGATTTGTTCAATGCACTTACTCAGTGTTTTAACTGGAGAATAGTCTCCTGGTGAAATTGTTATGTACATTTGTGTGTCATCTGCATAGCTATGGTAACTTATTTTGTTGTTCTTCATTATCTGAGCCAGTGGTAGCATGTAGACGTTAAAGAGAAGAGGCCCCAAGATGGAGCCTTGAGGAACCCCACATGTCATATTTGTCAACTCAGATGTGTATTTACCTATAGAAACAAAGTAGTGTATGTCCTTTAAGTAGGATTCAAACCAATTTAGAACTGTTTCCGAAAGTCCCACCCAGTTTTCCAGTCGGTCTAGTAATATGCTGTGGTCAACAGTGTCAAACGCAGCACTGAGATCTAATAATACTAACACTGAAGTTCTACCACTGTCTGTGTTTAGGTGGATGTCATTGAAGACCTTTACAAGAGCAGTCTCAGTGCTGTAGTTTGGACGAAAGCCTGACTGGAACACATCAAAACAGTTATTTAAATGCAAGAAGTTACTCAACTGTTGAAAAACAACTTTTTCAATGATTTTACCTAGAAATGGGAGGTTTGATATGGGCCTGTAATTGTTCATTACTGAAGCATCTAGATTATTCTTTTTTAAGAGCGGTTTAATGACTGCAGTTTTCAGGGCCTGTGGAAAAATACCTGAGTGAAGAGATTTGTTTACTATATGAAGTAGATCTGAGGCCATGCAAGGCAAAACATTTTTGAAAAATCCTGTTAATAATAATATCAAGGCAGCAGGAGGAGGATTTCAGAAGTTGAATAATGTCCTCTAGGTTTTTATCATTAATCTGATGGAATTGTGTCATGGTGTTTGAATTGATTTTAAGTGGGCACAGGGACAACACATTTGCTGTTCCTGATGCAGAGGCACTGACTGCTTGTCTGATTTTCTGAATTTTGTCAGTGAAAAAGGAGGCAAAATCATTGCACGCCCTGGTGGATAGAAATCCAGAGGCTACTGACACTGGGGGGTTGTTAGTCTGTCGACGGTAGCAAACAAGGCACGAGTACTATATTCTAGTGTTACAGAGTTGTGTGTTTTCAACATCTTGCTCCAAATGTCAAAGATCACCCAGCAGAGATCTGTATTTTCATAAATGTTCCCATTACACCATTAAAGAGCCCACCTCTGACATTTTTACCTCTGCAGAAGTAGTCATTACAGAATAAATGTCCGAGGTGTAAGGCAATTTGTTCCTCCGCCTCTCATGTTGGAACATTTACTTTATTTCACATTTGTCACCCTGACCTTTTCACACCCGCAGGAATCGGATGCACGTTTCCAGCATGTATGAGCACTGCATACGGATGAGACATCTCTCCCAGGAGCTGCTGCTGCCTGCAGATCACTCACGAAGAGTTCCTCTGCATGAAGGCCCTGCTGCTCTTCAGCATCCGTAAGCTCTGTGTCCTGGGCATCAACATGTACCTTACCCCAAACAAATGTCAAGGTTTTAGTCTTAACCATTACTGTCTTTATCTCCAGTTCCTGTTGAGGGTCTGAAGAGTCAGAAGTACTTCGATGAGCTGCGCCTCACCTACATCAACGAGCTCGATCGCCTCATTAATTATGGGATGGCCAACAATCGTCCTCAGAGGTTCTACCAGCTCACCCGACTCCTGGACTCTCTCCAGATGGTGAGACACTGCTTTCATTCACAATATGTCATTTTTAAAGCGAACTGTCAGTTTTTTTTAATTTCAAATGTCTTGGTATGCTTGTTGTAGTTGTATATACAAAATCGTGTATATTACATGAGTCTTTATTTAATCAAATGTTTAGATTTTCTAAGATCACTTCATGTTGTTGATCGAAGTGGTCCTCATCACTTGATGCACTCTATATCTAATTGTGTAGAGTAGGGATGTTAAGATTCACCGATTCGCAGCGTCTTTGCATCGGTAAAAAAACTATTCATTCAAATAAAATCCTCTCATCCTGTCAGCACTCAGCAGAGACGATCTTTGATCTTTTGATCTTCGAACTACGGAGGCCGAGAGTCTCAGTTATGGAAGCCGAGGAGAAAGAGAAACACAGCGCACCGAAAAATACCTACAAATCAAACGTTTGGCAACACTTCGGATTTTTCAAGAAAGACGGTCAACTTGAAAAATCGCTCGCAAATTGTAAACGATGCCGTGCCGCTTTAAAGTACACAAGTTGAATCAAATCGTATTGAACTGTATCGCAACAGGGGTGAATCGTATCGCATCGCATCGCCTGGTGTTTCAAAGGTATTGTTAATGTATCGTTTCGTGGCAACGTATCGAGATGCGCATCGTATCGGCCTCAGTGATGGAGATGCACATCCCTAGTGTAGAGGTATTCTCTGCATCGTATTAATGAGGCCCTATTGTGCTTTTTTGGGTCTTCCCTTTCCTGTGTGTTATGTTTTTGTGCATGTAAATGGTCTGCCAAGGCTCAAATCCCCTGTGTTCCCTCCAGAGGGAGTTTCTATCACACCAATCTCCCCCCCTGCCTGAAACGCCTCCATTGGACTCCTTTGTTTACTTCCATTAAATAGTGACATCACTACGTAACACTTATGCTTCTATTGGCTTAGCGCTCCAACACATAGTATGCCTAAGGGGCGGGGCATCTCTCAGCAGTTGACCAATCACAACAGAGCCGACCAGCTAACCAATCAGAATGACATCACCTTGTTACACTCACTGTGCTATTGTTAGTGCTCCAGCACATTGCACGTGACATGGTAAGGGGCGGGACATCTCTAAGCGGTTGACCAATCACAACAGAGCCGGCCAGCTATCCTATCAGAGCAGACTGGGCTCGGGTTTCAGACAGAGGTTGAAAAAAGGTGCTGCAGCACAGGCAGTATGAGAGAAATAAAGAGCTTTTTGAACATTAGAGCATGGAGACATGTCACAGTAGAGGGACTAAATTGTAGTAAGGGATCATGGGACTTGTTGTCTTCACCATCATTGCATTTAGATTATCTTGGTTCAGATTTCTTCAGTTTTCATAAATCAGTAGATTTTCAATAGGAGCAGAATTTTCAAAATGTGAAAAAACTGGAGCTAAAGTCAATTCATGACAGCTTCTGGCACACATTTCACAATCAATGATCTGTGTTTGAAAATAGTTTGGAAGGGATGTTGTGTGATTTATTAGGACACTGAAAAGGGATTTAAGATAGTATAAGGGGATCTGACAACTGAAATCTAAAAACTTCTTCCGTTTAATCAGGGTTTTGAAAAGGCTAATGGGTGAGGCGAATATGATTCAGATCTCTAATCCTCAATTTCCTATTGCTTTAGATGTGTGTACAATTTATTTGAATGAGTCATGTTTCTGAGTCATTGTCGAAACACTGCTTGTAGTGAATCTCTAAAACATGGCATTTGTTCTTCTGTTTCAGACGGTAAAGAAGCTCCACCAGTTTACATTCGACCTTTTTGTCCAGGCTCAGTCTCTCCACACGAAGGTCAGCTTTCCGGAGATGATCGGAGAGATCATCTCCGTCCACGTACCAAAGATCCTGGCAGGTTTGGCTAAACCGATCTTGTTTCACCAGTAGAAGAATTTTTTTATTTATCAAAAAGTGACTCATCTTTGCTACCTACGTAAACCTTAACGAAGGTTCTGTTTCCCCACATCGTCAGTTTAAAGCCCTGTCCTGTAATCATTATTTTGTTGTTCAAGTTTTTTGTATTCCTTTTAGCAATAACTGTGATTGTTTGTTCAGAACTGTTAAAGCTTTTATCTGAAGCGCTGCAAGGCCTCGTCTGTTGACAGCTCCGCTTTCAGAGATGTTACTTTATATAAGTCTGTGTTTCATGATTACAGGACACTAAAAGTAGCAGGGTTAAAAACTTTTTTCGCATGTGACATTAAAACTCTAGACAAGGTATTAACTTTACCAAAAGAACAAGAGATGGCACAAATAGCAGATGAGAATTGGATAAGGAAACAAACAAATACTTATACCCTTTTACTTTCCAAAATCTGTGCTCAAAATTGCACACTGAGAACGATTCATGCCGAATCAAGAATATATCTTCTGAGTATTTAGATGTTGTGAACGTGAGAAATACTCTTTCTCGTAAATAAGCAAGACCTTTTGAGGATGATTTTACTGGACATACCCAGGCATCCCAAAATGCATTGGAGCTCTTCAAACTGTTCATTAACAGAAGGCGCTGCAGACAGTTAAAATAAATAACCATGAGTAAAATATTCAAAAAATGCACATATTAACTTAATTGAAATATCAAAACATTGAAATTGCCTTCAAATAATACTGGAAAATATTCAATTGGGTGGATTTTAATTCAACTGTAACTGGGGCGGTCACACTGACAAACTGATACATTGACTTTAATTAAATGTATTCTATCAACAGATTCCACATTACTGTATTTGGTTGGTTGAAAAAAATAATATTAAATTTAAATCAAAAGTATTAGGTTCAACTTAATATTATTGCTTTCAACTAACCTAATACAGTTATGTGAAATGTATTTACATAATACATTAAGTTAAAGTCAACGGTTCAGTTTTTTCAGTGTAGTTGTTGATATATGCACCTATTTGATGCAGAGAAGAAGAATTGCTGCACTTTTCTACAGTGGGAACAATCTGCTGGTAATGATACACCTAATTGTTTATTTGTCAAGCAGTATGCACTACATAAGGAGTGAGTATGTAGCGTGCAGTATAGGTTTGGAGTTTGAACACAGCTCCAATGCTGTCTTCAGGTGCATCTACTCATTTCCTGCTTATGAATGTAGTTAGTACAATTTGGTGGGCATTTAATTATGTTGGCATATTAGGATTACTAAGGTAACAAAATAAATAAATGACATTACGAGCTGGGGGAGAGAGAGATATAAAGAGAAAACCTGCAATGGTAACCACACTTACCATTTATTATGTCGACAGTGGATGCCCTAATCAAATATACTTGTATATTACAAATGTACTGCATGTTTATTAAAAACATAGTGTAATTTAATACATCAATAATGAAATACTTGTGATTTAAGCCCAGAATCACCATATTATCATAGCAGTTGAACTCAATAGCAATTGGGCCTGTACAGAAGAAAGTTTGGTTCAGTTTCTCAGCATCAGGATCAACGACAAGTTTTGGTTCCTTAACCAAAGAAAAAAACCGTAATCTCAAGTTTTCTTCTCATAAATATGTGAATTACATTTGCAGAGAATATCCAAGTCTCTCAGAATATTACCCCCTCCCATGGCTCAGTCATTTATTAATGTTTACCTTCAGTGGCCCTAATACGCTGTCGTTTCTAAGAGCTAAAGTGCCTTAAACACAGAAATTAAGATGTACCTTTAAGATAACTGTTATCAAGCATTCGAATGAATGGACAAAATCCACTGCTGAGACAATCAAAGATAAGGAAGTCAAGCATTACAAAACAAACTTGATGTCCTACATCATATTTTAAAATGTATGTCAAACATCATATTGTCCTGCTGTGAGAATGTACTGTAGTTTTAGTTCAACTGGCGTTAATCCAGGATAAATCTACTGAGGACAGTTGATGTCTTAATGAGAAACTCAAAAGTGAAATCGAAAGTTAAGGAAAACTAGGTATGTAATGATACATTACATCATTGTTGCCACCACTTTGACTCACATTTTCACATCTCACATCAAAACATAATAACTGAAGATTAAACTCCCCTGCAGCTGTTATTCCCTCTAAACAATAAAGAAACGATGTTTGAATTAAAATAAAAATCTAAACTAAGCATAGCAAGATTTTTCAATTCTGGAAACATTATTATTCACTCATGTCTATGATGCATTGATAACATACTTGTACTGTATGATTATAGCTATGAACATTCATAAATATAACAACTATGTAAATAATTCATTATAACAACAATCACAACGCATAAAGCATGATCGTATAAGCATAATGACTTTTGAGGTCAACTATCATAAAACGTCATTATTGCTTGTCACTCATAAATCGTTGTGTTTGGGTCTCCCGTGACCCGTTTCAAGTTAAAAAGATATAATAACTTTTTATCGGAACAAGGCTTCATGATATCCTCCACAACAGCTACACTGTATATAAACACTAAAAAACTGATTTTGACCATTTTAGCCAAGTCTGAAGGTCTCTAAAAAAAAAGTGTATTATTCGGTGTTTGGGTTCGGGTCTGGGAAGACCCAGCAGAATTGTGTTGGGTGACTCGGGGTCAAATTTGGCACAATCAAGATTCATCTTTGACTTTAGACACCCCAGCCCCACCCCCTTCATCTACTGTAACAATATTAAAAACCTTTTTTGGGGAGATTGTATTCTAATATTAGTCTATTATAGTCAGACAACGTAATGATCCACTGACTTCACTATAGGGAATATAATGAGTGAATTGAATCACATGTTTTACTTAAATATGTGGTGTAATATTTTTTGGGGCCATAACAGGATTCTATGAATGCATAATAAGTTAGTTATGATGTAGTTAAAACAATATTGGATGATAGTCATTATTTTTGAGTGTTTTGGATTGAGATAAATTGTGGGTCAAAATTGACCCACGAACACCATGAACGGTAACAGCGTTTGAACACAACACAAGGGTTAAGATTCTTTATGCAAGGATAACATTTTTATATAATTCCCATAGTTGTAATACAGTATAAACTATAAATTAAAACATTCAGTTTGTTGTTAACTATCCTAAAATCCAACATGGACCACTTGTAGTGGCTAATAGTCACATCAAAAGTAATGATTATAATGCCTTAAAATAAGATTATAATATATTACAGCTATAGGAATTATAATTCAAAATGATCCTTTGCTGAAAAATATCAGTGAGTTCATAACAGCAATTATGAAGCATTATGATACTCAAACGCGTTATAAAATGTGTTGTGATTATTGTTAAAATGCATTATAAGTAGTTATTAGAACTTGTAACATTAATTACACAAGGCTTTAACATAACACTAGTATTTGAATAATGAATTATAGAAATGGCTGTAATAGAAAGTGTTAGCAGCATTTCCCCCAGTCATCACCATTTGTTCTTGCCAAATTCTGAAATCAAATATCAAACGTTATAAAACGTATAAAACACAGAAGGATGTGAAATTCCAGCTATGACTGAAACAAGTTACATTTGAAATGGTACGTTGCCATTGTTGCACTGTATCCCCTGAACACACCGCGTGCTTACTGCCGCTGAGTGTAGAGCTGTTTGCTGATGTTAGAGCATTAACTTATAAATATGTAGAGGGTAAACTTGTTCTGGCGGACACTTGGCATGAGTGAAATTAGAGAAAATTGGACTGTAAGCTGCTTTTATAGTTTATTCCTCCACTGCACAGCTACAATAAAATAAGCAATTTTGCAGATCTGGCCAACAAGATATCATGCCTTTTTGGTTTTAATTGTGCATTGAATAGGTATCCAACCTCCATTCAGACTCTTTTGCAGCTACTTTAAAGCTCATTAAGGCAACGCTAACCCTTTAAGATTAATTAATAAAACTAAAGTTGTGTTCACTCAGTCAGCGGACAGAGCTATCCCTAACTGACAGTCCTGCTGTGTGTAGCAGCAGCAGAAACTGGCAGACACACAATGAGAAGTGGATTCAAAGTGCCTGCGATATTAGATTAGGGCAGTCATTTTCCAAAAGGACAACAAATAGAAATGTGCAGCCAAATTAGAACTGGAAGGGCTTCTGATGCACAATCTGAAAGGTCCTTGAATAGCCCTGCCAACGCTTGGAGTTCAGAACCAAGGAAACAAATCTGTGGAATGCCTTGAAGATAACTCAAAAACACTTGAGTAAAACTGTTGAAAAGCATTCAGTCATGGAGCCGAATTCTATAATCACTTTTAGTTTTTATTTAAAGAACACAAATTGAGCGTATTATGTCACTTTGTACACACAGCAGAGCGTGAATCACACTGAAATAGTATCTTGTCAGTAAATGAACCAAACGTGGAAAGGTTGGCATATTTATCATCAGAACAAACAAAACTTCAACATAACTTCAGCTCACGTCCTGCAGCAATGCTTTATAACTCTGTAAATACAACACTTTTAACAATTCTATAGTTCTTTCACTAGCTTGTAGATGCATGCATTGTGTGTGTGTAGAACTGTATTCATCATTTTTAGCTTTACACAAAGCAATGCATGGACATCCACGGAAGTCTCTCCTGTGTATTCTGTCATTGTTCAATGCATGAGCCATCTGTCAGGAAGCATGATGCCATCTTGTTGTACAGTAACAAGCTGGCAATAACCGCCAGCTTCAGTGTTTTGTTTCGGACCCATTCACTAACTTCAGCTGTGCGTCAAAAGTACTTTTCTTCATCTGCAAGTTAATATCTTCATATTGTCTTTTTATACAATGTTTACTAAATGAAAATGAACGGAGGGATGGACCAATCCAGGTGATCCATGAACATTGATCCCACAACTTAAATAAATGTGTCTACCGTTATTTAAGGAAGCAGTAATGGAGTGTGATATTAAACATACAGAAATGTCCTTCAAACATATCATATCATATCATATCACGTATATCATATATAAATCTAAACATGTAAAAGAACTGGAAAACGACTCATCCTGTGTTACCCTTGAAGACTGTTCAATACTCTTTTTTTATGCATGCACACATTAAAGGTAGCACTGGGTGAGTAATTTATATTAAAATTGTTATTTTCTTGGTGATATTCCTTTAAGTAACAACATAATGGTAAACTTTTGATTAAATTGAAATATTCAGAAATCTTCTCACAGTTCCCAAATGCACTATATTGTAAGACTGTTGTTGCCGATAACACTTTGTAATCCTTGAAATGAACACTGGTTTCAAAGAATGTTGTCATTTGTAATGCTGTTTTAGCTTTATCTCAAGGCATTGCCAGTCAATGAGCCACCCAGCTGCTCTGTTCACTTTGAATATGATTGAGTCACAGTAGGCTACAGTGTGTGTATAATGTTGATGGACATTAGTTGGTACACTGTGTGCCCAATGTACTGCATATTAACCTGGTTCTTTGTACATGCTAGAGTATCTGTTTAATGTCTGTTTTGGTGTCCCAGTTCTTAACTTTTAAAGACATCTCTTGTAGGATTTATACCTTTTGTGACTTTGTGTTTTTCAATATTTGTTTTTATCAAAGGTGTAAAGCTGCATCGTCTTTTAAAGGCAATTAAAATAATTCTGACTCTTTGTTTGAAGTTATTGTACTTGATATGAAGGGGATATTTAGTAGAGTTTCAAAAAAGGAATTTTAATTAATCTCAGACTTTAGTCATGAATAGGCTTTTTCCCTTTTTAATTATTTGGATTCCAACATGCATGAAAGCTGGGCAAACGGGGAATACGGAAGGATAAGACCCATTTATAACACATTCATAAATGGATACAAGTGCCATATATATCTGGTAAGCACGATGCCATTATCTTAAATCGAAAAAAATATTTAACAAGTGTCAGATGGTACATAAATACATGTTTAATTCATCTTGGACATCCAGTAAACAGCTTGCTTCAGTGAGAACACACACTGTTTTGTTCTTGAGTCTCGCACTTGGCCGCATATTAATTTGCAGCTCAAGGTTATTTGAATTGGCACGAATTTGGCAAGGGAGTTGCCGCCGGTGATTTGTGTGGGAAAGAAGTCCAAATCTTAATACTGGGGCTGCACATTAGCAAGACATTCTGCAAAATTGAAGAACAAGCCGAATGTGGAATGGAAAGTTTTGAGGCGGGGTGGCGAGGCTCTAACAGGTGGCGAAGGTTGGAATGTGGAGGAGGCAAAGAAATTGCTGAGTGAGTTTAAAAAGGGTTTATTAAACTGATGGAGTTATCTGACTGAGTGCATAATGCAAGGCCGTAACCATGGAGTCAACATTGGGGGGGACCAACAATTAAATCAAAAATTTGAATACTAATTTCCTGCTATTCTAAAGGAAAATATATACAAATTCACTAACACATGGGATACTTTAAAACCTGTTAAACCCCATAAAAACAATAATATTCACGAAACTGTGTCTCAGGCATGGGCGTATAAGCATCCTCAATGTGGGTGGGACAATTTGACGGTGGGTGTAGGTAGGTGGTGGACCTCAGTAGGGGGGTCCGGGGGTATGCTCCCCCGGGAAGATTTATTTTTAAATGTTGAAGTTAAATGCATCAATTTGGTGCAAAATTAGGGACTAAATCTATAGATACATCTCTCAACACCCATATGAAACAGAACTGTACACAGATTTACTTTTTCTTTATGCATATTTTACAAATCACTCCCCTAGCTACTCTTCCTGAAAAGTTCGGTTTTAACATCAGAACTACAAGTTATTTACACAAAGAAGCTAAACCGGAGGGTTCATTAACATTACCATTACGAAATACAATAATATAGATTACTTTAGAGCTAACTAGAAAAAGATACCAGAACGGATGGAGGGCAAATTAAAACATGACTGACCTGCTTGGAGCATCAGCGCTAACTGAAGCTGGACTCGGGCGTGCGACAGCTAAATACACCCACCGGGTACAAAATAAAGATATGCATAAACAATCAAAGGCGGAACCAATTTACATATGAAAAGATTATATCATTTTGGTGAAGTTCACAATAACATAAAATAAAGATTTTCAAGTATAAAATCTTATATTTTTCCTTCAATTATGAATTAATTTCCTGTTGTACAAGATATTTGAATGGAAGTGAATAAAGGCCAAACATAATGGAAACCCACCACATAAAACATGTCCCAGGAGCCAATGTGGTTGGGTTTCACAGTCAGATAGCTCCATGATGTTTTTCAAGTTTTAAACACTGCAGGGGATGACCATAGAGACACACAGAGACTTCACAGTAAACGTTTTGGATTGTAAGGCCAACATTATTCTTATATTATTATACATGTTTGCAGCATTGCTTTGGGTGTTTTAGGCTGTGAGAAATTCATGGTCATTCATGGTACCCTCAGAATAAAGCCATCTGGGATTCTCTGACGTTTAGTTTGGTCCAGTCAGGAGACAAGTTAATGACCTTGGTAATCCCCTTTTTTATCTGGCACTTTCAACACATCGTAATTTACTTATTGGGAGGCAGCGGTCTCTGTTTTGCTCAAAAGCTGCAAAACTAATTAAAGCCATTTCCTCCCACATTCTTTGCCCAATTGCCACCAAACTTGCTTCAGTGCATATTCGGACTGTCCTCACAAACTGTCCAGCCAAGGTTTTTCAATTCTCAAAAATGAAGCCCAGAGTATATCAAAAAGTTGTACTGATTAAACATCCAAACATCATGAAAATAAATGTCTGCCATAGTAAAAAAAATGTGGTTAATTAAAAACAAATCTCAAAAGTGATTTTACGACAGTATTTTGAATTATATCCTCATTTATTTGTGTAGTTATATGTTTACATTTTTACATGCACCGGATATAGAGCATCGTTACTCATCAGTTCGTCAATTATGCTCATCAATAAATACAAATACATTTCCTAATTTCTCTCTTGTTTGGATGGAGTACACAAAACTCATAGATTTGAACATTTTGACACTATAGCTGACATGTACCGCTGGTGATTTCCTCAGTCATATTGTAAAATCATCTGTTCCTCACTTAAATTGGCAGGTAGAAAGCTGGGACTTGTCTCAATTCAAACATTTCCAGAAAACATTGAGTGGGAAACCGTTTATTCTTTACATTAAACATTTTGTTTGGGATACCACAGGGCTCATTGTTGGGCCATCATGATATTTGATTTTTACTACACAATTATAATGGCCAAAAATAATTCCTGATAACTATGTTAATAAGGGCTAAAATGAATGTGTTCCATCCAGAGGGAGTTAAGCACTTGGAAATGCGCTAAAATAAATACCATGACTTATTAGTGTATGTGACAGACCTCCGGGGCACCATCATATGTTTCTAAAATCGAGCTGAACTGAGACCGTACTTACATTTTCTTAAGGTTGTAACTTTGCAAACTCTTCTTGCACTCTTAGTTTGTACACAACACATTTATTAGCTTTAATTAAAACTGTCTCACTTTAAATGACGAAAAAATGGGTCTGACACCAAGTTGTATTAGAGAGCAATTAACACCACATAAAGATGGGATTGTTCTCCAAAGAAAATGTGTTATGTTATGTGTTAATGTGCTCTTCAATCACCCCAAAGAGAACACATACAGTAAAAGTCAATGGTAATAAAGTTGAAATGTGAAATATAAGCTGTGGAATTGATTTCAATGTAAAAACAGCATGCAATAACATAACTTTGAGCAATAATATTCATGAGTCATGTTAACACTTTTCATGTTTATTTTCCAAGGTGAAAAAAAACCTATCCAGACAACAACCAGAGTTTTCAAGTGTGGTTATAAAAAAAACAGTAAAATTAACATTATAATTTCAGAAACAGAAATAAAACTATGGAGTGTTATTTTGTACATATTGTAACAAATTCTTCATTTACATTTTTTGTTTCTCCAACAATTGATTTGAGAGGTAAACTCCCCTGAGAGTCAGAATTAAGGGAATGTACACTAGTTTATGTTCCCTTTTTAACTTACGCTATCGTAATATTCATGGTGTAAATTCAAACTACACTCAGTGTGTAGCAAAATACTTTTTGTAATGCCTCTTAAAAAGTGACTTATGGCTGAATGACACACTATGTCTGAACTGACATACATAATTAAATCTACATATTTTAAAAAGACTAAAATAGCTTTGAAAGGAGTAATTACTCCATTGCTTCACCCAGGTCAATATTCATAAAATCTAAAAGTTAATATTAAGAATAATTTTCGCATTTTCAAATGAATTTCAAATTAAACTTACTTAATCATATAGTCTAAGTAAGCTGTAACCATTAGTTTCCTTCCATTAACATTTTAACACTTTAAAATAACAAAAAACGGTAATGTTATTTGACACAACTGTAAAGTGGCATGAAACGTGGGGAAAACAATAATATTACTCCATCCTAACTTTGGAATAATAATCAAACACTGAGAGGATTACTTTGCAAGCTCATTCTAAATTCCCTTTGCTTCTTTGTTGCATTACACACCACTCTCAGTTCCTTAAGAGCCACTTCCTCAGAGTGCTGGCAGTGACTCCCTCCAGCTGGATCAGCACCCAGCAGCACATGCAGAAGTCACATGATGTGGTCCGAGTCTCGTCAACTTTAATTCGGAGGAAAAAAAGCCAAAGGTTTGTGTCAAGTACGAAAAAAGACATTAAAACAAATGCCTTTTATACACAGGTACACTGTTTGCATTTCATCGCTTTAATGCCGTTAGATCCGACACAAGGCCGGAAACATCTCACCTCTATTTCCCATTTGAACTTGTTGATGAGGATGGAGAAGCCGGCGGACTAAATTAGAAAACAGAAAACAATTATAAATTACATTTTTGGTTTCAGCTCAACCACCAGACAGCCCGGGATCCACCTAAAGGTCCAAAAATATCCAATTGCAAAAAGGTCAGACTGTGTGACAAATGCCTGAGTCATTGCAGTACTGTGATATTAAAATAACGAAAATCTTATTGCCATTTGTTTTATTTATTTGTAAAAAAAACTGTAATTTTTCTTCAGAGGGCTGACACCTATCCAAATGTGTCTACCCAATGTCCGTATTACACAGTTGTAAAATAATGAATCTGTAATATTGTTTAACTGAGATAAAGATAAACCAGGGTTTTTACGGTCTTTAAAAATCATGGAAAATGAGGTAATGGTCATGGAGAAGTCATTGAAAATCATTGGTGAAAAAGTGTATGAACCCTGATAAACTCCCTTTGATGAAACTCCCTCACATTCTTCCCACTCATTTCCATCACTGTGTGTGCAGGGAGTGCAACAGGGATCCTAAATTGGACCATCCAAGTAAATCATAAAAGATGACTTGTGTGTTTCTATCTCCAGAATGGCGTCATTGTGAGTCTGACTCTTTTGTTGAGTTATTATCAACTGTCCTGTTGTCCCGACCTAAAGAAAAAGACAAACTAGGGTAAAGACAAACAGAAGAAGTGGCTGTTACATACCTGGTGCCATGCCTGGAGGCATTCTCAAAAAACTTGGTTTTAGAGGCAACACTGCGGAAAAAGAAGCAGACATGTTTGTAGTATTGCATGTTTATAATTCAACTTATATGTGAGTATCTTTGTTAAATTCATTGACTTGTTATTTT